TCACCACTGCTCCATGTAGGCAGCCATTCTCCACTAAGATATGTTTCCTTATCAAGCCTTTTCCTAGGATTAGGCATGACATTGTGCTTCCACTTATCAAGCTTAACAACACTATTAGCAATCTTATTCATCACGTAGTTCCTAATCCATTCTACCATAGTGAGTATTGGCTTATCCCTAGCTTGTAATATTGTACTATTGAAAGATTCACTCAAGTTATTCATCAAAACATCACACTTAGGGTAAAATGAAAATGAATGCTTACACCATAGTTTTGTTGGCACTCCCATCAGCCATTCCCATGCCTTCTTATCAATTTGTTTAAGCTGATTCATCTTCTTTTCCCAAGCCTGGAAGTAAGTAGCCTTTGCAGCCCCCAATAACAGGTCTCTAATGGCAGCTCCCCCTCCAAATTTCTTCTTGAAATTTGCATACAGGTGTCTGAGGCAGACCCTGTGTTCAACTTGCTGATGCATTTCCTCAAAGACACTAACAAGTCCCTAAAAACCGCAAGACCACAGAAAAAAGCATGTACATTAGCAACTTATATATTCCTCATAAATGTTGAACATTAGCAACAACATGTAACATTAGCAGCAGGTTCTCATAAATGTTGAACATTAGCACCAGAAATACTTCAGTACCAGAAATTAGTGCATATTTGTGCATGTTTCATAAATGTGAATAACTAAGGTAATTAGTGCATATTTGTACCTTTTGTTGGTCTGAAATAAAAAAAATACTTTCTCTCTTCTCCAATGTCTTCCATTAGCAATTGCATAAACCATCTCCAGCTTTCTTTTGTCTCAGTCTCCACCACACCAAATGCCAAAGGATAATATTGGTCATTCGGGTCCCTTGCTACAGCAATTAACAATTGACCTCCATATTGTGTCTTAAGATGACACCTATCTACCCCTATAAATGGTCTACAACCCTTGGTAAACCCTTTCTTGCATCCATCAAAACAGAAGTAAAATCTACCAAATCTTAGTGGTAGTGTTGGATGTGGTCTCTCAGTATTTAGTTTGACAGTGTTCCCAGCACAATGTTTTCTCAACTCAGCTGCATATCTCCATAACATGTTATACTGTTCCTTTGCATCACCTTCAATTATTTCTTTAGCCATAGCTTTGGCTCTCCAAGCTTTCCCTTTAGTAATGCCCACTGAATATTTCTGTCTAAGCTCAGACATAATTTCAGACAGTTTAACTTTCCCTTGTGACTTCCTCTTTTCAACCACTAACTTAGAGACCCACTTGGAATTGGCAGACTTGTTATTTAATACCCTTGCACATGTGTGGGTCCCCACCCAAGTCTTTAGCTGGTAAGTGAGGCTACCTCCCACTTTGCTACACAATGCCAAAAACCCACATTTACTCTTACACTCAACCCTAACCCTATAGCTCTCATTCTTAGCAAACGTTATTTCTCTACCATTTAATACTGACCAATCCCTGATAGCATCTTTAAATTCAGAAAGAGAAATGAACTCCATACCTAATTTGAATTGAAAGTCTTTGTTAAGCAGCTCTGATCTGAACTTCTCATACTTTGGCTTGGAAGGTTTGTCATCCATGTCACTTTCATCAGCATCGAACTTTCAAGTTCCTCACTAGCATAATCCACATCTTCACATATCCTTGTAGCCCTCTTTGAACAAGATCCTAAGACACTTTTGGGCACCAAAACACTGACCTTGTCCATTTTGCTATTTTCTTTCATCTTTTTGGGATCCTTGGATGCACAACGCTTGAATCTAAATGATTTCCCTTCGATCTCCACCCTATTCCCACTAACTGGAACAACTACCTCCAGTCGTTCAAATTGCTCTTCTTCTACTTCAATTACTCTTTCCTCTTCACTGTCATTGAAACATTGGCTTGCATCAACATAGTCACCAGAACTATCATCTCCACTAGAGGTGCTGAAGTCATCAACATTAGGTACCAGAACCTTGGTCATCATGTCTTCTACACCGTGCTCTACCCAAAGATCACCGTGAACCCTACAAGACATACAATGCCTAGTAACTTCTACAGCTCCTGCATCATCAACAACATTTGTAAACCCTTCATCCGTTTGCGGAATCTTTCTCCATAGCCTAAAACCTTCATAACCCCAATCTTTAACCAGACTAACAGCTTCAAAAAAGCTCCATTTATCTTCGTCCTGACATTCAACAGTAGTCTCACTACCTCCTCTATAATACGTATGGCCGTCTTGCACGAAACTTCCCCCATGATGAAACACTAAATTAAACACACCCATTTGCAAGGATGAAGAACCCTAATCGCAGGGTCTGAATTGAAACTGGCTTTTTTTGTAAGATGAAGATGAAGATGTTGCGCCCTAATTTTGCCAAATAATTTGGGATTTTAAGAAAAGGGCATTCTAGACATTTTACTTGGTCTTGTGTGACATGGCAAAAAAAAAACTTACACTTGTAACAAAAAAATAAGCCACATCAGTCTTTTAGGTGATGTGGGAGCCTCAAGGTAAAAATTGAAACTTTTAAAATTTGTCAAGATAACTATTGGAACTTTTTTTTTAGCAGAGGGGTTTTTCAAATACACCCAATATGTCAGGGGTGAAAATAGGTATTAACCCTTATTATTATTATTATTATTATTATTATTATTATTATTATTATTATTATTATTATTATTATTATTATTATTATTATTATTATTATAAAATATTATATATTAATGCTAATAGTAAATCAATGTTCCAGTAACAATAATGCTACTTTGCTATTCACGTAATACTAATACAATTCAATTGCAGGTTTTATGGTATTCTTCAATCACAGTAATAAAGCGTTGAGCATAAGAGAATTACAAGTATTCGCATACGGCCATAAAATATATCAATTCGTTCCATCATTGTTACATAAAGAACAATAATTTCCAATGTGATCGGTATCACATCATTGTTATATGTTATCATGCTTATCGAAAATATAACGATTCAAAACCAAATTGAAGCAAATTTAATTAAATGATTAAACTATTTAATCATGTAAATTCACGTTACAAAAATTATATCACTATATAATTATCATCATATAGAAATTATATTTGAATTAATAATTTAATCAAAATAGAATGCGGTGATAGCCGTCTTTTATTCTGAGAAAATTGATAATTAAGATTGAAAGGAGAAATAACTCATCTATTTATTGAAAGCTTCTAAAACTCTAATACTCTTAATTTGGGCTTTTTCAAAACAAGTCCAATCTTATTTAACTAAAATATTTAATTAAACTATTATTATTTATATTTAATTAAACTCTTTGAATTAAATAAATATTAATTAAATTAAATTATATTTTATTTAATCAACTGTCAATTCTCATTTATTTAATTAAATCATATTTAATCAAATAAATTATATGTGTTAATATATTAAACCATTTAAATACTATTAACACATAATTAAATTAAATCTTATTTAACTTAAACGTTCATTCCACTATCAGCACTCTATGTGTGTGATCTTATAGGTTCTCGTAACATTAACAATAATATTAAATCACTTATTTAATAGTATAAACAGTTAGAGGTATCTAGCAACACATCACTACTACCTATGTGACGAGAATGTCGTGTGATCTGACATAATTTTTCTGTGATAATGATCATGTGTATAATTACCCTTTTGTCCTTATATCTATATTGTAGAACGTGTCACCCTTATATAGTTCATATTTTATTCCTTGATCACATAGTATACCTGACAACAACAAAATAAGTCCAATATCTCATATTGACTTATTTGAGCACGACCATGCATTGTACAGTCATACTCCATCAAGGGGTCCACAGATATTACTCCCGTATATGTAGGAGGGACAAATTTCATTTAGGTCACTCATGTCCCACAACATGATTTGTAAAGTATCCATCAACCATCTTTATAGTCATCCTGTTACGAATGACGTTAGATTGACAATAAAGTACTTGACTCTACATCTAGGGTTCATAGTAGTTTCAGGTGGAAAGGTGACATACACCACTATCACTATGAGAATAACTTATGACACTTACTTAACAAACTATGTAATATTTTCATTTTTGGTCAATTGAATATAAATATTACTCCTAATATTTATACTTATGTGAAGAGTTGATATCTTATATTCATGACTTATAAGATACAGTCATCAGTCTACTTACATAATAATCTCTATGTATTTACTGTTGTCCTATTTGATCTAATGGACAAATGTGCCACATTTTTTATAAATAAGATCTAATTAATTCTTTTAAAAGAAAATGAATTAAAATAAATCTAAAATTATAGATATGAGACTAAAAAAGATATTAAACCTAAATTTAATATTATATTCAAATTTCAAAAAAAGTTTGAGGGTGGTTGAACCTCTCAATTTTACATTACTATATAAAATATTTTTTTTTTTATATTTTTAACTTTTAGTTTTCTCAGTTAAAAAAATTCATTACTATATTCTTAAGAACCCGTCAAATCATTTAGTACTTTTATAATTATTATCAAATATTTTTAACTTTTAAAGATTAATACTTATAATTTTACCTATAAAATTTTCAATTACTATCTTTAAAAAAACATGGTAAACGTATTTTATATAACATTTTTCATTTATAAAAAAGAAAAAAAGGAATTGGATGTGCCATAAGGTTTTAAATCAAATCTCCATTTCCCCGTTGAATATTTTCTTCCATTTTTGTATTATATTTTGTTCAAAGCACTTATAGGAATAATTTTTGAAAATAATGACTCTGCAATTACAAAGTCGAATACTTATCATTCTAAATATAAAATTTTACTTTAAATATTCCTTTTTTTTCTTTTTAAAGAATTAATATTAAAAATATCTTACTTAAAATTGATTACGCCTTTGAGTTCTATCCCTATCTTATTGACATTTTTTCTTATAAATACCAACTTCAACATTAAAGTAATAAACAAAAAAAACAATCGAGAGTCAGTATTATAGAGTAATGCTAAACCAAATGTCCAACTTTTTCTTTTTCTTTGCGCTCTTGGTTATAGTTTTTGCAGGTAATAATACTCTCTAACAATTCTCATCGCTGTTGTTAAATTATAAATCTTACTAATTTTTTCTTCATTTTTTTCCAAACACAGTTCAATTTATTCAAATAGATGGTGAATGCACAAAAGTTTTGAGTAAGTGTGAGACTTCGGATTGTAATGATACGTGTAATTCATATGCAGAAGGTGTTCGTGTTTTAAATGCATCGTGTTCATCCTTAAACTTATGCACCTGTACTTTCGATCGGCCACCACCAGAAGGACCAACACCTCCTTGCGATGTTGTGTTGGGAGTTTGCACTGATTCCTGTAACAATGAATGTTGCAACAACAAATGTAAAAGTAGTTTTCCTAACACGGGTAGTGGGGCATGTATATTAGCCTTTGATAGGGATCTTTGCATGTGTACTTATAACCGTTGAATTTCAACTTAATTGAAATAAATCAAATAAAATATTGTTTCTTTTTTTTGTTATAAAGTATTTTTGTATTTAATTAGTCATTCAAGAGCATTGAATAGTCATAAGATCATTTATTGGATTAATATCATTTTTGCTTCATGTAAAATAATTGGATTGATATCAATGTAATAGCCTTTTTGCTTCATGTAATAGCATCAATGTAATAGCCTTTTTGCTTCATGTAATAGCATTTTATTTTGGGGATTTTTAGGTTTTTGTTGGAGAAGCTTTTGTTGGAGATAACGAAGGTCTTAAAAATACTTAATTAATGAGATGACATTCAATGATGTATTGGAATGAAATACTTTAAAATAGAAATAAATAACGAGTTTATTTTGAAGTGATAATTATTTAGATTCAACTCTAAGATACAATTCAGATATGCTCCAGACACGGGTGTCATTCTGATACTCATTCAGACTCAACTTCCAGATACAGTTCAGATACGTTCCAAACACGGATGCTATTCTGATACTCATTCAGATTCAACTCTCAAATGCAGTTCAGATATGCTCCAGACACGGATGACATCCTGATACTCTTTCCGATTCAACTTCCAGATACAGTTCAGATACGCTCCAGACACGGGTGTCATTCTGATACTTATTCAGATTCAACTCTCAGATACAATTCAGATATGCTCCAGACACGGGTGCCATTCTGATACTCATTCAGACTCAACTTCCAGATACAACTCAGATACGCTCCAGACACGGACGCTATTCTGACACTCATTCAGATTATCTTTCAGATACAGTCCAACAATCATTTTTGGATGGCATCTGCAAACCTATCTCCGACAACTTATCATATTCTCTCCAAATGGAATCTTTAATCCCATTCCCTCTACCATCGATCATCACATCACCGAGTGCAAATTTCTGGGTACTCTAGTGTCCAATCATCTTCCACCTTCGAGTCACGAATGGCAAAACTCGCCAATCTAACTCTTCAGGCTTAAGAAGATTTAAGAGAGGCAACGGTTGTACCCCAAAATTTTCCCTCTCATTTATCAAGAATTTGTTCACAAGATCTCCTTTGGCTCAGGACTGCACTAGGGTTGATCAGCTCAAGACATCTCCTTAAGCACTGATGACCAAAATTAGGATTTGAGATTGCACAAGTATATTTGAACTTCCAATGCCCCATATGACTTTCCTGGATCATTATGGACCCTCAAGTTCACTCATGCCAAGTTTCAAGCTTTGGATCATACTTTTGCTCAGTCAATTGAGCAGTTGACCTAAAAATCAACTATATTGGGGGGAAAGTCAAATGTTGCCAATTCACAGTGAAACCTCATAATTTTTTATCCACGTCAACATTTTAGACACATATGTATCATTTGATAAAGTTTGGACCATAACTCCTCAAGAAATTTGATCAAATCTTCAAAAGAGCAAATTGGTCAAAATTAGGGTTTTAACTGGGAAAAGGCAATTTCTGATTTTTGACCTAGCAAATGATCAATTGATTTAAGGCATGATATCAAGAGTCCAATTGCGTCATTTTTACTTATTGACATGGCTCAAAATATTGCTCAAGTCCAATAGATTGACAGATGAATTTTTAGTCAACTGATCAAAAGTCAAATGTATACTGAAAAGACAAACTTTGACTTTTTGGTCAAAATCAAATGCCAAAGATCACAATTCATCAAAGCATGTAAAAATTTGAAACTTATTCATCAAGAAATCAAAAATTCAAGATTTCATTTTGAAAAGTTAAAATTTCTAAACTTAGAATTTTTTTTTGTGTTGGAAATTTCTTATTTTTTTCATAACTTTGAACAACATTTTCACCATGATGCAAGCCGATTCAAAGGAAACTTTCAACATGAAAGTTGTAGATCTCCATGAAATATACAACTTTGCTTTACACAACTCCTTCCAAAAGTTCTTGGATCTCAAGTTATAATTTTAAGAATACAAGGTCATGAAACAAAACACTTAGTGAAATTTTTGCCCTAATTTGGTCAGGACTTTGACCCAACTTCATGGCACTTTTTCATATAGTTCCAAGGAGAATTTTCAAAAGTGATTCAAAGATGGCTTGTAGAGAACATTGCAATCTTTCCAAAATTTCAAAGAACTCCTTGAGATCATTTTTGAGTAGGGAGAATCGAAGAGATGAAGTTAGGGTTTTATCACTTGAATTACAAGGCATTTTGTGATGAACAAGATTCAAATTCAAAGTTATGCTGCATAACCTCTACTTTGCAGGCCTCAAACTTGTTAGGAACTCCATAATTAATTTCTTTCACAGCTGTTATAGGTCTCATTTCAAGCATTCAATGCAAGGTCATGCTTTATATCCATTTTGGGAAGAAATTGCACATTGCCATTTTGATAAAGTGACTTTTTGCACAAAACTTGTTCTTGAGCCTTGCACATATTCTCTTCTGATCATACATGTCTTATAACTCAAGAGAAACTTGTTAGATACTTACAATCACCCAACCCATTCTTGTACTACACATTGAAACTTGTTTTCCCACTTTTCTTGAAAATCAAGTAACATAGCAAATAGCTTGTAACTTGTACTTCTGACTTTCCAAAGCACTCAAACCTCTTTGCTTATACATACACATGCCATTTACCATAAATCACACGCATACTTGACTACTGAAAACACCAAGAACACAGAATCACCAAAAACACTTCAAAACTTGTCATTTCTGAGTTTTGAATCCAATCTCCAAATTTGCTCGTGCGTTTCTTGGCCTTTTGCTTTCAGAAGCTTCTAAACAACATACACAAACAATCCCAACAACTGCAGTACCACTGTAACACCTCCATCATCATCCACCATTTTGAAAAACAGCACCTTGCACCTTGACTTCTCCAGAACTCCTCAGGTACTTTCAGCTCAAGCTAAGCATTCCATTAGCTTCCTGGGAACTTGAGGAAGCTAACCCAATCATTGGAACTCACTGAAAGCAACTCAAACTCCAAACACGATACCCTCTTGCAATGTAAGTTTTCTGACTTTTAAACTCTTTATACAGGCATCATTAATGGATTATTTATGAATGAAAAATATAGACATCATTGCCCTAAAGCTAACCATGTTCATAGTTTTCATTAATTTTGTTTGAGCTTAGAGAATTTTAAGATTGAAGTTTCTGAAATTTTTAGGTTTCAGATTAGGGCCATTAAAATTCAAGATTATCTTTGATCTTTAAGTTTATTACTTTGCATTTCTGAAATCGTGATGAAATTTGCTACAAGTTTCCTGTTTACAGTTTTCATTTTTGTTGAGATTTGAACAAGATACAAATGCTCTGGTTGGGCGTGAGGTTGAAGATGAAGTTCAGGCCATGGACTTGTTTATCATCATATATTTATTATTTTGATTATATAAACAAATGTATAGCCACCCCAGTGGTAGAAGCGCGCGCCTGTGACTTGAGGGACCTGAGTTCGAGCCCTAGTGGTACCCTTTTGGATTTTTCACATTTTTTTACATTCTGACTTTCTTTTTTGGCAGGCACCTGGGCCTCATCTCCTTGGGCTTATGTTTTTTTTCCACTTCTGACCCCCTGTTGGCTATTTACGCCCTGGCCCATTTTTATTTCTTTTTTCTTATTTTTATTTATTTATTTTCTTAAATATTTTATCTAATATTAAAAAATCATAAAAAATATCAAAATATTAGATTAATATTTTTGATAAAGTTTATTTATTTTTTACATAAAAAATTTATTTTTATTTAATTATACTATATTTATTTTACTAATTGTTTTGTAAATTTAATTGAAAATTAGGGTTTTATTTATTTTCTCTTACACCATTTAAATATTTTATTTTAAAACCAAAAAGACCAAAAAATATTTTATAGTACTATAAATTATTTTTAAGACAAAAAATACGAAAAAAACTTTTCTTATAAACTTAATTTCTTTTAATCAATTAATAGATATGAGTTTTATTTAATTTCTTTTCCTAGTAAATTTAGGTTTTACTTTTAATTAATTATTTTCCCTTTAGTTAATTAGGTTAAAATCAAAACCCCTTTTTCCTAAAAAAATCCAAAAAAACATCCATTATCTTTACATTTACATTCTTGTACATTTATCCATTTTTGTACATTATTTATTTCAATTCTTGTACAAATTCAATATGGTTGTAATAGATAACTAGGTTTATTTTCTTGCAATCCCCATTTATAATTTGTAAACCCCCTCCCACAAGTATTGTAATAGCGTAGTAATTTTAAATTCCGCAATTTATCGTTTTATATACAAATGCTAGTAATTAGAGTTTGCATGGAAAGACTAAAACCAATCAATTAGAAAAACCTAATCAAAGACAAAACCAAGCATGAAAACAATACATTTGCACACAAGCACCCCTAGGATAAATGCACTTGGTTGCCTTATAAAACGACCATATTATGCATGTGAGGTATCTTAGCAAAAACAAGCAAAAATACAAGATCATAGTCCCTTGATGACGCTATCTATGTTGCCTTTCAAATGATCTTAGTCCCTAAATAAAAATGCTAAGATACCTTGCAACATTGCTAATCATGGTTATGCGATGACCCACGCCCGTCCCGTTTACATCTAAAGATAGAGTTATTTACCAAATCAATGGTAAGATAACAATGTCAAAGGAAAAGGAAAATGAACATGAAATACTTTTGAGTAGGTAGAATGCTCCTAATTACTTGCTCCATTTCAAAACAAACCATCCTTGCTATTTTCAAAACAAACACCTACATTTTCAAAACATCTTACAAACTTGAAAACATTTTCAAAAGATCAATAACTTTGTATACATTCTTACGAACGAGAATCATTATAAAAGTTTTCCTAAACAATGGCCTCTTTACAAAATACTTTCAAAAAACCACACAAAGCGCAATTTGAAACAAAAGCAAGTGATTTAGCAAGTAACTAAGAGCCCATGGAAAACCATGGATGGAAAGGGTGATAATACCTTCCCTTTTCATAATCT